TGGTGGCCTCCTCAGTCGGGACAACGATGACCTGGACGTGGTTCTCACCGTAGAGCAGGGCGTTGACCTGCTCCTCAGCGGCGCGGCGGTGGACGGTTCCGAAGACCTCAACGTTGAAGCCAGTCAGCTCACGGCCGAACTCGCGCTCGTAGTGGACGGAAGAGCGCTGGAGACGGGGGACGGTCATGGTCTTCTCAGAGACAAGAGGAGAATAACGCTGGGAGAAGGTGCGGATGAAGTTGAGGGGGCGGGTCTCGACGAGGAGAACGCGCTTCTGCTCTTTGGGGGTGCGGAAGATAGCCTTGAGCTGCTCGCGCTCGTAGTCGTAGGTCAGAGACATGTCGATGGGGAGGGTAGCCTGGACGGAGTGGAGAAGGCGGGCTCCGGTGTGCTTGCTGGGGTGGATGGTGACCATCTCGGTGACGTGGGTCGAGGCAACCGAGGGCTCAGCCTTCAGGACGAGGGTCGGGCGGGTGGACATCTCGAACTTGATCTCTCCCTTGATGGTGGCGATGGTGGGCATCTTCTGGGTGATGTGGGTGGGGAGACCGGTGTGGGAGACGACGGTGCGGGTGCGCTCATACAGGAACGAGGCAACGGAGACGTCGAAGCGGATTCCGCGGGCGAGGTCACGGATGAGGTCAGCCATGGAGGAGACACCGTTGCGGGTGATCTCATCGATCAGCTTCTCCTCAACGGGGACGACGGCGTAGTCGAGGTTCTTGTAGCGGAGGTACAGCATACCGAAAGGCTCGGCATCACGCTCAGCACGGCGGGAGACAATCTTCATCTCGGAGGCGAGCTCTTTGAGGATGTTGTTGATCTTGGAGGAGCGCTGGCCACGGGTGACAACCTCAGAGGACTCCTCGAGGGACTTTCCGTACTTGTTGATCAGCTGGTAGAGGACACGGTCGAGGTTCTGCTGGGTGAGTCCGAGCTGGCCGAGGTGCTTGTTCCACTGGCCGGCGAAGAGCGAGTCAAAGTTGGCGAGGAGCTCGGTGGGGAGGATGGACTCGTTGGTGAAGATGGAGGCCATGTCGAAGGAGAGGCCAAGGTCGAGCTTGCGCCAGAAGGCGGAGGCGCGAACGTAGCGGGACTCGAGGGTGGGGCGGAAGCGGAGGTTGCGGAGAGCAACGGTCAGGTCCTCGGACATCTTCTTCTCGCAGGGGTTCTGGGACTCGGTGAAGGAGTTCATCAGGGAGTAGCAGAAAGAGCGGAGCTGGTGGTTGTGCTCGCGGTTGAGGGTGTCAACGATCTGCTCGAGGATGGGGAGAGCAGGGCGGGAGTGGATCAGCTGGTAGACGGCGGACATGCGGAGAGCAAGGGGCTCACGGCGGGCCTTGAACAGGGGAAGGAGGATCGACTGGATCTTGCGGGGCATCTCCTCACGCAGCATGCGGAGGGCATCAATGGCGGAAGAGCGGATGACGGGCTCCTCAGACTTGTTGTAGATGATGTCCTGGATGAAGTGGACGGCGACGTCCATGCCAGAGTTAGCGAGGGTCTTCAGAACGAGCACCTTCTCGTACTTGGAGGACGACTCGGTGTACAGGTTCTTGAGGGTGGCCAGCCATTGGGTCTTCTGCTCGCGGGTGCAGCGGCGCTCTCCCTCCAGCTCGATGGCCCACTGCTCGGTGTTGCGGCCGCACAGGGTGTTCATCAGGGCTCCGGCGGTGAGCATGGCGGATTGGCGGAGGACGGGCTCGTCACGCATCTGCTTGGACTTGCCGAGGCGGAGGACGGCGTCGACGATCTTCTCCGAGGAGACGGGGGCGTTGACGAGGGACTTGAGGGTGAGGGAAGCCTTCAGGGGAGAGATCTGCTTCTTCTCGATCTTCTCGACGAGGTGCTCGACGGTGACCTAAACACAAAGAATTTAGCTGGAAATTATTGTTCTACCTTGGTGCCGGCGATGGCAAGGCAGTCAGCCATGATCTCGTTGACCTTCTTCTGGTTCTTGCCGAACTTGTTGCTCTCGCAAACCTTCTCGTGGACCTCCATCATCTCGGCCTAAATAAAAAAAATCAAAGTATTGAACTGCTTGACATACGCGGTTGCACATGCGCAGGACAATAGCGATGCGGGCCATGTAGTGGGTGGACTCGAGCTTGACTCCATCCTTCTCGGACTCCTCGATCGAGTTGATCAGCTGTGAGATGTACTTCTCGACGAGCTCCTAGAAGACGGTGATGATTATTGTAAGAAATGATCACTCACGATCTTGGGGATCTTGTCGAACTTGGCGAGCTTCCAGCTCTCCTCGTCACCGTTCATCCAGAACTGCTCGCGGGCCATCTCCTCCTCGTGGTTGTAGAGCAGGGAGGACTTGGGTCCCCACTTGGGCTCGGACTGACGCTCGGCCTCCTCGACCTTGATGAGGCGCATGATGGTGTGCATGTAGGTGGCCAGAGCCTCCTCCTCCTTGGCGAGCGGGGCGAAGGCGTACCTGAATTGTTGTTTTGTATTTATCTCTTCTGGCGCTCTCTCTCTCTCTCTCTCTCTCTCTCTCTCTATCTCTATTCCGAAAAACCTACTCAGACTTGACGGAGACCTCCTTGATCAGGTACTCCTTCTCGTCACCGACAACCTTGTAGTTGTAGATGGTCTGCGACTCGGGGCGAGAGTCCTGGGACTCGCAGGTGGTGCACTCTAAATCACCATCACACCCACAAATTTTCCCCTACCAGAGGTGAAACGGAATCCGTAACGGAAGTCGGCGCGCTTGGTGCACTTGTCGAAGTTGACGGCCTTGGTGACCTCCTTCTCCTCGCGCTTCAGGCCCTCGACGACAGAGTAGGAGACCTCGCACTCTCCCTCGAGCATGCGCTAAGAGTTGATTTTAACAATTTATCTAAATTCCGAACCTCGGGCTGGGTGAAGAACTTGTTCTCGGTCTCGGTGACATCGTTGAACTCCTGGGTCTTGGGGGAGAACTTGATCTGGAGCATCTGGACGAGTCCGCGCTTCAGGTTCTCGGACCAGGTGTTGTCGCGCTCGGAGAAGTGGAGCTCGGAGATGATTCCGTTGTGGACGCGGAAGCGGACGGGGAGGGAGAGAATCTCGCGCTTCTCCTCCGACAGCTCAGACTCCTCGAGGGAGATCATCTAAATTGGGTGGGTCGTTGGGAAATTCGGATTATTTCGTACGTTGTCGAAGACGCGGGGCTCCTCGATCTTGCGCTGTCCGTGCGAGAGGCGGATGTCGTCCATGCGGAGGGTCCTGAGGGAATGATTAGGTATTTCAGGAGAGTCGTGCTCACCAGTATTTGTCTCCAACGGTCACGATGACCTTGGACTTGCCGTGCTGGATCGAGTGGGAGGAAGATCCCTTGACGGGCAAGCCATGGGCAATCTGAAATTTGCGATCTATAATTGAAAAAATTAGGAATTTGGGTGGAAGTAATCGTATGCAATCACTTTTGAGTGCGCAACGCACACGCAACGCAATGTTTGCCATGAAAGCGAAAATTCGGTGATTTTGAATCTAGTGTTTTACGTAAACCTATTCCTAAGGGAGAATCAAGCTCCAGCTTAAGCCTAAACCTAAAAAAAAAAATTACCCCAAACCCAACACCAAAAAAAAAAATAAAAATAAGCTTGAGTCGAAGCAATGTCTAATCCTATTTCTAAGCCTGGCTAAAAGCTAAAACCGAGCTTAAGCCTAAGCCTTAACCAAAGCCCAAGAAGCCTCATTCTAAGCCCATAGACGCAGCCTAAGCCTACTCTTCCCACAAAGCATAAAGAAACCCAAAGCCCTACCTGTCCCTGGTAGTTGAAGGTGTAGCTCTTTCCGACGCGGAAGGCCTTCTCGGGGCCATCGTAGAGACGGTCGGCTGGTTGCCAAGAGGCAAGGGCCAGGGCCAGAAGGCCGAATGCGGCCAACAGTTTCATCCTACGGTGTGGATGGGCTGATGACCAAGTGGTGAGGAACACGCCCGGCAGGGCCCTTTTATGCAACCGGTTATCGGGGCCCGGATTGACGGGTGAACCCGGGAATTGGCCGTTCCCACGCTGAGTGGCAGGCCTTCAGATGACCGCTTCGACAGAGAGCGACGGGGGATACGGCCCGATAACGGACCCGCGGCACGTTTCAGGGTCTCCATGATGTTCAGAGTGCATACTCGGACCAGGTTTGGATCTCTGGTACGGAAAAATATATGTAGATAGTTAGTAAATCTATTAACAGCGGTTTGTCTTCTCCTTGGGACGTTTTTAGATTGAGTTGATTAATAGAGTGCTAATATTTTTAGGCAAAAATAGATTTGTATTTATAAAATCGCCGCGTGTCGATTAGAATTTTTTGACAAGCAAATGGCTTCCAGAGCTGGTATTTTTTGGTGAGTTTTAAAGGTGATCTTGATTAAATTGGAACCCAGAGCCATTCTTTTCCATTTTCTTTCTTTCTTTTTCTCTCTCACGCTCTCACTCTCTCTCTCACCCTCTCTCTCACTCTCTCTCTATCTCTCTCTTTCTCACTCTCTATCTCTGCTACATCCACTCTCCCTAACTCCGATGGATTTCTGACCATCAGACCAAAAACAAGATGCTAATCTGCCTTATCAAACACGTCTCCCCGTCCCCAATTCGACGGGCCATTTTGGGGGTCCAGAAAAATATTTCGAGTGATTGACATTTCGCGGGGGGAGCTGTCAGGCCTCCGGAGACAACTCCAGGAAATTTTGGGATGAGTCGTTGAATCGCACTTTATGCGACTTGATTGGGATGGCCCTGCAATTTGAACCCATCGAGTCATAATCTCGAAATTGGTCTGATAAGCTTTTTTGTTTCCGTTTTCCTTAACCGTAATTAGACGTTAGATGCCTAAGCTTTGCCCTTGTTTTCCTTAAACAGCGCAGCACTTCCCCTCCGCCCGCACTCGAATTTTATCGGAAATTTATAGGTCCTCCCGCATGCGCAGATGGCTTTGCTGGAACCGGATCAGCCCGACCCTGAGGCGATGATGGCAAACATTGGCAGTCGCTTGGCACGCCTGATCCGAAGATGAAGCTCCAATTATTCCTCCTCATTTCCTACAGTACCCTGATCTCAGCCCAATTCCAAGGCCAAGAATGGCCCACTCCAAACTTTATGCAGCCAATCACCCGCGCGCCGCCAAAATGGGAATGGACCCGATGGAGCAACGACTGGGAATTTTGGCGATCGTGCGGCGGGAGGGCTTGTACTGGTAAGTCTTATCTGGCGACGGAAAATTCTGGCTTTTCGATGATAACACCATCCGGACCGAGCGATCCGGACCATATTGGGGATGGCAACAGTGAGTTAAAAGTTTTGACGAATGGAATATGACTAGGCCTACGTGGTTCGAGGCTTAGAAGGAGTATTTTTGTATCTTTTTATAGCCTTAGGATGTAACCAGGCTTGAACTCGATAGGGTTTGTGATTCTGGATAGATCCTATGTTAAAAAAATCGCTGTACGACAACGTGACTTTTAGCGTGTACATTTACCTAGTGTCGATCCTATAATAGAGGATAAACTATATTTATAGAATTTTTCACCGGGTTTAAGCTTTAAAAATCAGATAAAAAAAACTTGTAAAAATTTTCGCTCCGAAAATGTTTCCATCCGAAAAATGTTTTGAAAATATTTAAAAAAACAAAAATTAGTTTAGTTTAACAGATCAGTTTTGCTGAGAACTTTTGAGAAAAAGAATTTGTTTTGACTTTCAAACACTATCGGATCGGCGATGTCGTATCGAAGAACTCCAAAAGCCCCGAAATGCGACTTCGTCCAAAACGCACTAACTTTCATTTCAGAAACGCCGGAAAATAAACCACGACTGGCGGCATTTCGTTTGATGGCTGGCCGACTGACAGTGAAGTGCTTTGCAATTATGCGCTCAATGGCAATAAACGATTCCTCACGGACTACTTTCACCCCCCTAAATGGCAGAGGAGGCCAGTAGCCAAAGGCGGGCTATAGTGTGACAAAGTGCCGTTTCGGGGCAATTATCCGGCTCGAATCGTCAGAAAAGGAGGGCCGGGGAGACGTGCCACTGTCCGTCTACCGTATTTCACTACTAACGGTTTTGGTGCACTACAGAATTTCTTAAAGTTTGGACCCTTATTTCTTTCTTCGCCAATTTTTCTGGACTTTTTGATCTCGCCAACTATGAAAAAATGTAGTTTGATTAGAATTTTAGCCCTATGGATGCGCCCTAGAAATATATTCCACGAACTATAGATTGTGTTGAAAGCATCTTTCCATTTTTATTTGTCGTTGCGCGGAATTTTTTTAGACCACTGGGATCTCTGAAAACTCTAGAAAGCTAGATTTTTCGAAGTTTGAGCTTTAACGAATGCACCCTAAAATGTATAATAATGAAGCCCAACAATCTAAAAAAATTAAGATTTTAAGCTGAAGAACAAAGCTTTCACCCTGGTTACTCCGTGGCTCCATTTCCGCCGCGCACAAAATTACGATGTTTACTGTGTATCCCCCCCCCTGCGGCTCCTCCAAATCCATTTGTCCAGTGGCTGGACAGACAGGAAGACAGAAAGAAAACATTTGCCGGCTGAAAAGGCAGACAGACAAATCTGGCCGGCCGATGACTACTCCAACAATCGAACGAATATAGATTTAGAAAAGCCTCTCTTATTGTTTGTATTGCCCCTAACCGTGCTGCTATGAGAATGCCGAAATTCAAACATCGAATTTCCATAATGTCGATACTTGAATTTTTCATTTAGATAACAAAAATGTCGAAATTGTCAAGTCTCGAATTCCGGAATTTTGACCCTATGAAATTTTGACACTATGAATTCATCCTTTAAAAAAATAGCCTCCTTTCCCCACCATCTGAACCATTTAAGAAAGTTCAGAGTACGGAAACGGAACTATCACATCAAGCATTTTCCTTTGAGAAAAGTACCCAGTCTTAACCGTTGTTCTCACGATTCCATCACTCACCTCCCATTCCATATGTACGGTTACGCACCACCCCTAGTGCCATTCAATCAGTGGCCGACACAGAACTCCTTCTTCTACCCGGACACATCGCATCCCACATAACGAGCATCCTATGTGAAATGTTGCTCGGGATTGTCGCGTTGCTTATCGGCCGGATAGAGGCATCGGATTTTGACTATGCCAGAATATTGGGTGGGCATTCTCTTAAGTATTTTATCGCATAATTCTTCATAGGTAATCCAAAAATGACGTGCGGGGAAGATGGGGTGATGCTCGACATTGAGACATCACTGCCGTTTCAAGGTCGAATTTATGTGACGGATAAGGTGGGTGTTTTGATATACCATAAGTCTCTAAGTAGGAAATAGCGTGATTTACTATTAGACGTCGTGTTTTTATAATGCCGAAATTCCCAAGGACAAAATTACATGAAAATTTGAATTGGGATCTTATGAATTTGACATTTTCACAAAAAATTACCCCGATAATATACCTTACCTGCCCAGAGTCATAATCCTTATTTTCAGCCCGAAACCCCAGCCTGCTCGTTCCACTTTAGCTCCAGCATATCGTCTAATGCCTCAGTTTTCCTGGACTTTCGTCGATGTCTAGATGATGAAACTCTTTCCGTAGATTCAGTTATCCCAAGATTATATCGTTTTAGAACGGGTCTCGCGTCTACTCGGGCTTCATCTCAATCGGCTTCCATCCGGTTTGGCAACTTGAACTTTCATTATCCAAATCCCCGTGCCATTCTAGGTGGTGATGACCCCGTCGGATCGGGTTTTCGCGTTGCGTTGCCTCGACGAGGCTCCGGTCCGAGAGATCAGCGACCGATCAGAGTATGATTTTTCGATTAAAGATTAAAACTATAGAGCCCGTAACATAATTAAAAAAATTATAGCGTAAATTGTACACATGCCGTCCGTCAAGCCGCACATTGGGACCGTATGCCGACAAATTTTACCATTGGCGACCCGATAGTGCACGACTGGAGTTGCCAGTTCCCGCGTGAAGGTATCGGAGAATTACTAAGGATTTAGAATATTCTAATATTTTTAGAAGAAGGCCAATTTTTGACGGTCTTAACATACTGTAGTGCCGTGTCGCGCACCGGCCAGGTGATGCACTTAATTGATGAAAATGGGTAGGCCTTTTTTTGCTAAATATAACCCAAAATAGTTGCATCGTGGACCAGGAACTGCTCAGCGACCTCACCTACAGCAATTATCAAGTGAAAATCTACGGGAGGGCGAAGATGTTTCGTTTCGTTTCGGGTACCGCTATTCGAGTAGTCTTTGTTATCTATCCAATTTTAGGTGATAAATTTCGATTTGAATGCCGACTGCGGATGTGCCGGAAAGGTGTTGGGGGTTGCAACTCGGAAAGCATAGTAACACCCAGTTACGTCGTCAAATTCAAGTGAATTTAGCCCCCAAAGTGTGCATTCACAAAAGAGGAAATATTGAAGCACAAAGAGGGTCGGCGAACGCGTTTGGATGCTGTGGATCAACATTTCAAGACTAGTAAGAAACAAAACCCCGTTTAAACAATGTTTTTAGACCTCTTAAATGATGCCGTCAGCTTTGCGAGGGAAATTGCCGTGTCTAGCGAATGGATTCACGTAGCGCATAATGACTACACAGATGCGGAAAACCTTCGAGAAAGTGGGAGCATTTTGCTACCAAAATTTTCGGATGTTTTAAGGATATCGAATCAATGGAGTTGTGGATCACTCGATGGAACCGTTGGCTCGACCAATAAGGGCTCCACATTTCCTCAAATATATTTCATATCGGTAACAATTTTTCAATTCACCGGAAGCAATTTTTAGGGATGTGGATCTGATCAAATCCCCCTCAAAGCCAAATCAAATTTCAATCGTTGAAAACCAGCTAGTTAAAAGGGTACCAAGCGTGAGTTAAAATCATCGAAAAGTATATACTTGATTAAGTCCGTCGATTTCAACAGTATCGACGAGTTGCATCCTGATTTTGGCGGAAGCATTTCGAGAACTTCCAAGTAAAATACTGACTGCTATTTTTAATAGACGATTTTTAGGGAAGTTCAACCTCCAATGGCCGCCACGATGCGTTTCCTGCCCGTTTTGGCGACGAAGTTGGAGATATTTGAGTAAGGGGTTCTCACCGAAGATCATACTTTTTACTTTTATTTCGTTATTCTTGCTATTAATCAATTTTAAATAATTTTAGAACGACCTCTCAAACATCCACGACACCCACAACAAAGAGAACCACAACCGAGACTCCTAGAAAATCAAAGCCCACGTGGCGGACAACCTACATAATTTTACCTCCAGGCTCCACGCCTTCACCCGATTTATGTAAGCCGCTCTTTACGGTTTTCACAACGGTAGATTTTCAGTCAGGGAAACTAAGGGTGAAGATGTGCTCCAGCTGACGTTACCGTCCACGGGATGGCAGATTGCGCAAACCCCAAGGGTTGCACTACCTTTTGACGATGTCCCGGCAGGAACCACGACAACAACAAGACGACCGAGAAAAGTCGTGTATCGGCCAAATGAATCGGAGGTGGGTGTTGTTGACAATACCTGACGTTAATACTCTAGGCGCGAGAAGATGATCTCGAGCTAATGGATCTTAACGCCGGAGAACCACCGTTCGATGCTGACAGCGCGGAAATCAATCGAATTCCGGGGAGTGTAAATGATATTCAAGGTACGGAGAGGTCTGCTACTATAGATATGCGGCTCTTACAAAAAATTACAATTACAACAACGACTTGCAATACTAGAACAATTTGAAAACCATCGGCAACAATGGCGCCTGGACGAAGTACCGGTGAATCAGAATGAAACGATTATCCTGGCTGGGGCCCAGTGCTCTAATTCGACAACATCCGGGGTTCGTCCAAAGTTTTCCAGAATTAGATTTTTGTTCAGACCTCTCAAAGATGCAAATGGAGCTCGATGGAGAACATCTTGTTGGCTTGGTCGTTCGGGTCATTGGTGTTGTGGATTATACTTGGAGCCGTATGCTTTCACCGATATAACAGTAAGAAGCCGGCGTGGACGAGGTGAGGGCTTTGTCGTCTCGAATTAGGCCTAGGCTTGAGCATAGGGTTTGGCTTAGATTTGGGTCAAGTTCAGCCTAGGTTTAGGCTTAGGCTTCGCATATTTCAAATTGGGACCAAGCCGTAGGGTGCAGAATTTTGCGCTGATTCCGAATGTGTTTACAAAATTGTATAAATTGTTTCAGGAAAACCATAGAAAGTGGTTCATTCGCGGCGTTTCGCGGACTTTTGTCGTTCATAACTTTCCGGAAGCCGGCAATTCCGCAAATTTGCTAAACATATTCAGAATCAGAGGCAAATTCTGCACAAAATAGGCTTGGTTATAACTAGAAACCTCGATGGTAGTAAAATAGGATCCTTGTCAGCCTGAAGCGTGCCGTGGAAAAGCAAATGTAAATTCTAGGGCCGCCTATCTTTCCAGGGAAGCCTATGATCAAAAACCACCCAAAAACCTACAGCATTTGATCTACGGACATTGCGTCCCAACCGCCATAATCCTCTAATTCTTTCCAGACGTCGTCACATGATCTCAGCCGCATGTGTGATCCCCCGCGAGCATCCTTGGACCCACCAGGATGCATTCGTTGAGCCAAAACCCGCATACCACAAGAAAGAAATTGATCTCCAGCATTTGTGACGTTACTGCGAAATTGGTTTCATACATCGAGCTTAATTATGCTAATTTTATCGTCAATTCTCATGCATTACTCTTAAGTTTTTTTCAATAAAGGGCAGAGATTGGTGGTGGGCGAAGACGATTGAGTGGCAGCCGAGTTTAATGGGCGGCTAAGAGGGGCTGGGAGCATGAGCTGAGGCTGGGTCCTTGAGAGCCTCACTCGTTCCTCACTGCAAATGTTCGGGGTATCGGTTTCCAGCTTTTGCCTGGCTGTGTAGTTGTTGTATACGGGGAGTTCCTGTCTCTTACTAACTAAACATCTTGAGATTGATAACGATTAACTGATGAGAGCATGAAATTAAGTGTATCGCTTTGTCTTAAAGAATCCGGCTAGGTAAGGTCAAAGATTTTGTTGGGTGTAGATTTTCTATAACATTTGCAGAACCCGCGACGCGTAGCGGTTTATTCTAAGCCCTATCCTAAGCTTAGCCTAGGCCTAAGCTTAAGCCAAAGCCAACGCTGAGGCTAGTCGTACTCTTCAGCCTAACCTAAGCCTCATAAAACTTAAGCCTAAGCCTAAGCCCAACCGGCAAAACCCACATAGACGGATTTTGCCTGTTCCCCGTAAAAAGTGTGAAACCCGGCAACAACTGATTCTTTGGGCACCCCTTCTATACAAACATGACGACAAAACGGAAGACGGGTGGGCTTCGACACTTCGAAAATGCAGACAACCGGGGGATATCGCAAGTCCATCCATCCACCCACCCAGCCATCCTGTCTCCTCAGCCCCAGTCCCCGCCACCCACCCGAATTATTTGCCCTTCTCTGTGTATCAACCCCAAAAAATCCGGGGCACAACCCCGAAATTGATTCGGAAGGTGACAGCCTAATTTTAGAGGGTGACGGGTTGGGGGAATGGGGGTTGGGGGTGGTGAGGGAGGACTGTGACATCTGAACTCTCTACGAAGAGATGATGATGACGCACAGATCGTTTGGAGCTGGGTTTCTAAAATTATTCCTGAATATTGAATCGTGATTTTGCTCTACGTTTATTTCTTGTCATTTTTTGATATGATTTTTTTTGTCTTAGAGTAGAAATCCCTTTTTTTTGCGTAGAAAGTTTGATGCAAAAACCTATGTACTCATTTTGCGCTCATGGCATATTAACTTGAACGAGGTTACGTTGCTTAGGCCTAAGTCTAGGCCTATGCCTAGGTAAACTAAAGCCTAATCCGGTTGTTTAGCCTAAGCCCAAGCTTAAGCCTAAGCCTATGCCAAAACCTAAGCCTAAGCCTGAGCATTTTAGGCCCGAGATTGGCCCGAGCCTAAGCCTGTGACTGTCGATTTTAAGCCTAAGCCTATCCTAAGCCTAAGCCGAGACCTGATTGTAAGTCCAAATCTTCCAACAACCTTTTCTACTTGATTATTGATACTTCCCCTCTTCCATCAACAGTTTTCTTATCCTGGAAAAGTAATTACCATGTTGTTCCTGTCCCTTCCCTTGTTCCTCGACTTTCCGAGCGTCAGGTGTTCGTTTTGCCTCCGCCGTTTCGCATCCTCCCAACTTTATTGGTTTCCTGTTGCTGTGTCGATACAGATTTTGCTTTCCATGTTTTTATTAAAGGGTACCCAATTTTGGCTAAATATTTATGTTGGGATAAATACTTTTTTCGGCAATGGGAATCCCGTTGGCCCTTTCTCTTGTGGGTCCCCATCCATAATGGCTTCCACTATGGCTTGGATACATCAGGCCTCAGAGGGGTTGACCCCCCCTTTTTTTTTTTGGGTCTTTTAGGTATTCTTATTGGTTATTCCCTAAATTGCAGATGACTTGGGTACTCCGCCTGGGGTTGCTGGCCCTGCTGGCCCTTCGATCATATGCCGGCTTCTCGAAGACGGAAGAGCTGGAATGCATGTTCCTCGGATATCCCGATCTTGAGTATGATGGCTTTGACCGGACAGAGGTTGGTGAATGTAGTTATTTAAGGGAATTAGTAGATTTACGTAAATTTGCGATAGAATAATTTTGTGCTTCACAGCGTGAATCTTGGCTAACTGCGCCTTCGAACCTCAAAGAGCTGATTTAATTTTATCTGTTTTTCTTTAATTTTTCAAATCTTGTAGGTATTGACGGAAAAGAATTTCAACAAGACGGTCTTTGCCGAAGATGCCAAGTCGGTCATCTTCTTCAACGACGTCGAGGACGACGACCCGGAACTCGATCAATACGAGTGTTTCCTCCAGGTTTTGGAAGACATTTTCCCCCTGAAAACCAGATTTTAGCTATCCGCCCAAATTATGACCAAGCGCGGCTACAATTTCTACACCGTCAACACCACCAAGGAGGTCAAATTGAGGCGTCAAGAAGGTAGGAGACGGGATTTTTAGGTTTTTTTAGCAAAGGCATAACTTGGCTCTGTCTTCCCCCGGGGTTTCCGGGCTACCGGTTGGTGTCCCAGATCGATACCTGCCATCACGCTGTAAGCCATGCGAGGTTTGGGCCCCAACGGGACCAAGGTGTGGGCTCCCATGGCATCGAATGATCCGCTCCGTTCCGCGCCTAGTCTCTCTATGTAGCTGGGGCTCTCTATCAACCGCTTCTCTCTCTCCCTCTCTCTCCTCTCGAATACAGCCCCTCCGGCGTTTGGCCCTTTACACCGCGACCCGGGACGGGACCCAGGGAGAGCCCGTCATCGGCGAGGTTGAGGCTTGACCTCGGATTGATGTGCCCGGAAAAGCCCACATGATCCATTCAACCGGGGGGATGGGCCCGAGATGGGCCCGAATGGGTAAGGTGAAAATATGCCGGGGAAGACCTACCTGAAAAGCTCATATGCTTGAAAATGTCGGTACTGAACTGTTAGCGGGGGATTATCTGACCCATACCTCGCAATTTTTGTGTGCATTTTTGCAAGGCTTGACATTGTATTTTCATTGATAAAAAGTCATAAAATTTTTTAGAATTTATAAAAGTTTGAAATTTTGTTGTTTTTTCATGCATTTTAGACCAAAAATCAAAAACTTTCGCTAGCTTTGATAATTTTTAATTCTATGGTTAAAAACCGCGGAAAAAGTTACAGAAATACGATGTAATTCTTTCCCCCCGTCCACCTACCAACCCAGTACCCCGTCAAAAACAATAAAGTCACTTGCTACACAAATTAGGGCGTGGGTACGAATTATCTGAGCGCGAGACTACGACCAAAAAAGTAATGAGAAATTACGGGGCGTCTTGTAAATTATAGCTTAGGGGGGGGGGCGGGGGGGCCCCCCCCCCCCCCCCCCTCCTTCCCTTTTGAAGATTCTCCCCAATTCCCCCCTCTCCTAGATTTTCCCCCCCCACCCCCCCCACAAAACAAAAAAAAAGAAGGAGCCAGAACAAAAAAAAAAAAAAAACCAAACCAAAAATAACCCAAAAAAAAAAAAAAAATTTCCACCTTTTTTTTATATATTAATATAAATTTATTATAATCCTCTTTAAAAAAATAATAAAAAAACCCACAAAACACCCCCCCCACCAACAAACCCCATTTTACTTTCCACCCCACCAAAAAACCTTTTTCAAAACCCCTAAAAACCCCGTTTTTCCGGCCCTTTTAACAAAAGGGCCCACACAAAAAAAAAAAATTTTTTATATAGAGGAGATATGACAAGCCGCATACGGTATCAAGCAATTAAGGGTAATTTCAGAGGTCGAAAAGGGCGAGGATACGATCCACGTCTACAAGGATGGGTACAAGATCGAGTACAACGGTGTCCGCGACCCGGAGACGTTCGTGTCGTGGCTGATGGACGTTGGTCTCCTAGAACGTAGAGAAAAACAACTTTTCTAGATCCCGGATGATCCGGTGACCATCATCAATGACGAGCACGATCTCGAGGAGTTTGAAGAGCTCGAGGACGATTGTGTCAGGATTGTTGGCTATTTCGAGCCCGGATCGGCCGGTAGAAAAACCAAAAAAACCCAAGTACATGCTCTTGCAGCCCTGAAAGAATTCGAAGAAGCCGCTGAAGATTTTATGGGGGAAATCGAGTTCTACGCTGTTGTGAACAGCTACGTAAGTAAAGAAATCTCCCAAAAAATCTTTTCGACTTAGTGGGCCAGGAAAGTCGGACTCAAGCGAGTTGGTGAGGTGCAGATGTGGAGGCCATTCGAGGAATCGCCACTTTTCGCTCCAACCTCTGTGGATACCGAGGAGGAATTCGAGGTAATTTAGGGAGAGCAAGATCCATACTCTGAATCCAGGACTGGGTGGAGAAGCACAAGGAGCCGGTAATGGTCAAGCTGCAGCTGGACAACTATTTCAACGTCTGGGTAAGCTTTACAAATAATTAAATATGTATGATGTCTAACCAAAGAATACACATCGCATTAGAAAACATTGTCCAATATCGCAGCCATAATTACATTTTTAGCGCGACCCAGAGGAGGATGAGCGCATGGTACTGGCATTCGTCGACGAGGAGACGCGTGAGGGCCGAGCGATGAAGAAGCTGCTCGACAAGCTGGCCGACGAAAACTCGGAGCACGCCGGAACCCTGGAGATTATCCTTGTTGATCCTGGTGGGTCCCGAAATCGAGCATTATGTGGGTTTTTAGATGAGTTCCCACTGATGGTCGATGTCTGGGAGGAGATGTTTGGCATTGATATCGAGGAGGGACCTCAGATTGGATTGGTTGATATTTCGGAGGTAGGTTAGGCTTGATTACAAAAGGATTTAAGAGGTCTAAGTAGGCTGGGGCAAAGAGCCAAACTTGTATAACTCATATTTGTGGGTAAAAACGCGTGTTTTTGCGAATTTTGAAGTCAGGTCTGAATTCCAAAAGGAGTTTTTACTGAGGATGTCTTAGTTATGAAAATCGGCCCCGGAATCTCTGAAATTACTGAATTTGGAGATCTATAGGTTATCACGCCGTGTATTCCCAACCTTCCAGAAAGAAGGAATCTGGTTCGACATGTCCCAAGTGAACCTTGACGACCCGAAGAAGCACTCCGACTCCAACTTCGAAGTCCTCCAGACCTGGGTGGACCAGATCATGAGCGGGCAGATCTCGTTGGATGGTAATATTCCTAAAATTTGGCGGAGCATTTGACTGCAGATGATGATGACGATGACGAGCCCCCGCCACCACCACCCACCAAATCCGGAAAGAAATCGAAGAAGGAGCTCTAAATCATCTCCAGCTATCGTTTTTGGTGCTCTTCCCGGTGCCTTTTTTGAATTTTCGCTCCAAAACCGCCGAAAAACTGCAATCACTGCCGTGCATCCCCGAGATCGGAACAACCCTGTCTAATCACTACTTGTACGAGTCCCAAAAATCGTCTTCAGCTTTTCAAAAAAATTAAAATCATGTTTACTATATAAAGTCCACTCAAATTCTTTCGTCGATGGAACCTCAACCAGCCATCATCATCATCATCTCATTTTCTCTCTAATTTTTCGCCCAACCCCGACATTGAATCGCTAGGCTCTTGTCAAAGATTTTGAATTTTTCTTTCTATAAATAAAATTTTTATCGCAGTTTTAGATACTTTACTTGTATGTATTTAAATTGTAATTCGATTCAAACAGTAACACGTTTATGCATCACACTATTGAAAAGTGGGTTGTTGCGGAATATAGATGGGGATATGGGCAAAAGGTGATAATCACTCCTCGTCAAACTCGTTGCGCGCGGGTTTGGCCTGCTGTTTCTTCAGCGTCTTCAGGTCGTTATAGGCCGCGTGGTGGATGTCCTGCACTTGGGAGACGGCCTTAAAGCGGCTATCGATGATAGGGGAATTATCTACAAATATTTATACCAATTGATGGAAGAAGCAGGCTTGCGGGTCTTCGTCGAGGCCTTCTGGGCAGTCTTTCAGGCCGTTGCACAGGTCCGAGGCGCTGCAAGTAGGTATAATTAATGGTTTAAATTTAAATTTGAACTTGTAACTTGACATAATTCGTAGAAATTGAATATTAGTTGGATACTTACCGTATGCATGGCCAGTCAGACCCGTCTTCGGTTCGGGGCTTTGGGCAAAAGTGCCATTTGTCGCCGGGGTGCCGCACTTCCGTGCAGACTAAACAAGACTTGTTATAAGATACTTCATACACATCTTACTACCAAAAATATTTTTTATACTAACGTTTTATAAGCTATTTTATATGTAAATATCATACTAACCTTTAGGTCGGTACTGTAGCACGCTAACGTTCTGTTTGCCCGCATCACCATGTGCATGGCCGGTGTGATGATGGTTGCGCTATACAGCAGGCAAATTAATAATTTAATTCTACAATTTTTATACCGCGTCCATCACTGCAAAAGCCGAAAGGCAGAGTAGCGTGGCGTAAAGTGGAACTCCAAACATCCTACCCGGAATTCCCCAAAATATCTGAAAATCGCTCGATTTTCGCAAATTTTTCGCCGAAGAGTCAAATCTCAAAGCAAGCCCCCCGGCCCGCCAGGTGAGTCAGATCTACAGGAAGTCGCGAACGGCCTCGAGAGTCGAGAAATGAGAGGGGATTGCCCCGGGGCTCCCGGGAAAATATAGAGGTGCAATTAGGCGCAAAAACAGGGGCCCAACCCTAATCCGGGCACTCCCATTTTCACACCCCGGCCCCTCATTTTCTTGCCTGTAACTTGGAAACCATGTTCTTCTGCTGTCCTCCCATCTGCTCTACCCCCTCTTTAGATAAGCCGCTTTGTGGCCCCAGCGGTGTCCCCGATATTGATCTGCAAAAAATGCGGGGATCCCGCAAATCTGGTGCCCCCCGGGGAGTCCCTCCGCAACAAATTCGAAATGGACAGAGGCCCCATTGGGAAGAGTGAGGGGTTGATTATACAAATAGGAAAATGATTTTTGACACCATTTCAGCATTCGTTTGAGAAAAAATATATCTATCGTTCTTTCTCTTCATAAATCAAGGAAATAGGGAGCAACAGCGCCAAAATCACCCATTCAAACAGCTTAAAAATTAAATTTTCGCTGGAATTCAAGCGCGAGATTTGACATTCGTTTTACATATTCGACAACTAGGAAAGCCACCAAACCACTTTGGCGCTGATTTTATATTTATAAGAACATTAATAAAAATATTTAGACTTAGAGACTTAGATTTAGAATATTTGGCCTTTGTCGTAGGTTTCAAGAATCAATTGACAATATTGGTCATGTTCTACACTTTCCAGTTCATTTAAAACACCGGAAAATGACAAAATCAGGGTCTCTAAAAGACCATTTCAAACGGGCAATTACGTCCGACAAGAAAAATTTAGTCCAACTACAAACGCACGTGGGCCCCGCCACTTTTCTCAGGGCCGGGAAGGCGCAGAAAATTTGGGGCAAGCGTCAGTGGGGCCTAAAAATAACACGTGGGGATCCCGGCGAGTGGAATTGGCCTGATTAGTTGGGGTCCCCGTTTTTTGCGACATATAAATAAATTATTGCGTTGCAATCTGGACGGAGACCTCGGAAATAACAACAATTAACGCCAATTGACCAATGCCCGAATGCGGATAGGGAACCAAGTCGATACTTAGATGAAAATTGGTAACGGACTGTTAGTAAGGACGGGCCAATTTTTTTGGGCAAGCCGTTACGGCCTATAACGTAATATAAATAAGTTTTATAGTATTATAAACAGAAGTGAGTGGTAAAAAACTAATCAATTAGTTATGAAAATGACAAATAAGGTAAAAATCGTCAAATTATCCTCAAGCTACAAAAAATATTACTAACTGGCATAAGCATAGTTCCAGGTATAAGTGGAAAGAAAAAATTCGTTTGTCCCCTTGCCCAAACGTCGCCCTCCCCCCGGTAACCGTCCATAACCTGCAAAGTTATGGCAAGGAAAGCTCGAACTTTTTAGAGCAATTATGCTTAAAAATGCGCGGAACTAATCAGAAAATGTCATACAGCGGAATTCCAGACGTCACAAGGCACCAGATGTCCTGATATTTCGCAATAATCCTCCGCTTTCAAGTCAACTAACGAAAGGGGCCAATGACTCATCCATAATCCAAGATTAAGCCGTTTATTCGTCCCGTACATCATAACAACATAGCCTTTTCCCCAGAATTATTTCTGCTTGAATTCGCGCTTCCAGGTGACCGATTTTGACTCCTTCGTAGCTGTGCATTCCTAAAAAATATCGGACTCATAGGGTAAAATGAGTAATCGAAAAATACACAGAGCTAAAAAGCATTGGAAATTCTGAGAATTACCGAGTACAGGGTGCCGTCCCTAAATTCATAGTAGGTGACGTCTTCGCCAACCTCGGGACGCGACAGGTTTAAATGTTTCTCGATGAAGCGACCGCCTTCGCAAGAGAAAGTGATCTGGAATTGTTTTGTATTTTGAGTTCTCCTAATACAAGGGATTTTGTAGAGCTCTTGGAATCGAATTTAGAGTTAATCTAAATTCATATGTATCTTCGATTGTGCATGGATATAAGTGTATATAAAAAGTCTACGACCATGCTACACACTACGACAGTGATTTCTATCCAAATTACGAACCTCATGCTCTTTCCCATCATATCCAGTGGCGCGGATTTTCTCACCGAGAGTGAAGTCGTATTCCAGGTTTTTGCCGGGATCTCCGACAGCAATGTGATACTTCTGAAGGTACGTCATTTTCGAAATGCACAAAATCAATTACGTCTCCGTGTTTAGTCAAATGAAATCGGCCGTTTTTCATTTTTCCGACGATCAGCTTGCGAATTAGCCATGGTACTCCTGAAGGCGCCGTTTAGGCTTTATTTTCATAAGATTTGGAAGCAAAAAAAAAAAAATAAATTATTTTTAAAAAAAATAATTTTTTTATTTTTTTTTTTTTTTTTTAATATTTTTTTTTTTTTTATAAATTCCACTTTTTTTAATTTTTATATTTGGGGCTTTTCTTTTTTTTTTTTTTTTTTTTCTTTTTTTTATTTTAAAAATAAATTTTTTTTTAAAAAAAAAAAAAAAAACTTTTCATAAATATTTTTTTTTAAAAAAAAAGTAAATTTTTTTACACCAAACACTCTTATGTAATTTTTTACAATAAATAATAAAAAATTAAATTTTTTATTATAAAATATTTTTATTTTTAAAAATAATTTTTTTTTTTTTTATATAAATTAAACTTTAATTTTAAAAAATAAAAAATAATTAAATTTTATTTTTTTTTTATTTTTTTTTTAATTAAAAAAAAAAAAATTAAAAAATTTAATAAAATTTAAAACACTCTTAGTAATATACAAAATGTCCTACCTCGCACGGCAAAGAATTCATCAATGTTCTCCTGTCGAACCTCAACGAACGCCTTATCGAGAAAATAATCCGGAACGGCCATTTTGGAGAAGTAGTAGCGGTAGTATGGTTTGTTCCTAAGAATGGATCTGACCCATTGAGAGGCTAGCCTTTTTCGTGGAATTGATAAGGTGAGGGGGTTGTGATGTAAGCGCTATCACCCGCGCCTTTACCCTGATTACGACCGGGGGCAGTTGATTTATTGGAATGCCTACACAATTAAAAATCCTAACTAAAAAAGTTAAAGGTAAAAGAAAAATATTGGGTTATATTAGAAAATCAATATTTGCTGCAATAGTGTAGATAAGGCTACCTGGCAATCCGATTTGTTTCTGCGCCAATGACGAGCAAGAAAAACAGCGCTTTTAACGCTTGCTATCTCGGGCCGGGTTTTTGTGGCTTGTCGTATGCTTGTAGTCTCCAGTAGATAAAACGCGTAATATTTATTAAGGATCTAATTGTTGATATACTTTATTTCTAGCTATCCTCGTCAACCTTCAGACTGAGACGATCGCAATCTTCAGTCTCCTCCAGATAGATGGTCCTTTGAACCTCTTTTACGCGATGAGGGCCCAGACGCATGTTGTATTTTGAGCCGAGCTAAAGTGAGGTTTGCATAGATGATTGCATAGTTTTCCGTTTCTAGAAATGACAAAAATCATTGATAGTTATGAGCAAAACTTACCCTCTCAAAAACGGTAATGTTGTCGTACTTCGTGATCCAGAAGAAATTGACGAATATTGTGAAGAGGAAGCAACAGATACTGAAGATTACGCCGACCACCAGGGCGCCGAGGTAGTCGATGGTATCGAATTCTTGGACCGGCATTTGTGAGTAGGGGGGTTTCGTGTTCTGAAATGTTCTGATTAGGATAATATTAAAAACAAGGATAGCTTTTGAAAATCATCAACTTGCCGTCAAAAGATAATAGTCTGTAAGCTAAACCTAAACAACCTTATTTACTTAGTTTCTTGGTTTAGAAGATACAATATTTGTGGCGGATTTTACTTTTCAGTATCAGGGGTTTTTTTTACAGTATCCCCCCGCCAGACCGTTTTATTGCTCTACCGTTTGCTATCCTTTCGGAGAGAGGCAGATGACCCTGATCAGAGCAACAAGCGCAACCTTGTATTTGATCCTAAGTGGCCCTGATTCCCGTTTCAAGGCCTTCTCACCTCCGGACTTTCCTCCTCGACCTTTCTGCCCCCAGTCGGCCTTGCAACGGGAATTCCTTGCGTCGGTTCAAGAAAAGGAGGAGGAGGAGGAGGGCGGGAGGAGGGTCAGCTTTCGACCGGTCACCCCTTTCCCCTGCCATACAGTTGGTTTCTATCATGGTCCATTTATAGTACCCAGGGAATGACGGTGGGTTAGGGTGGGGGACTCTTTGGGTATACAGGTTGGGCTTACCCCCCTGTTTGACTAAACTAGATGGCTGAAATAAAAAGCTAAAAAAATGCACAACTAAAAAACAAAAATCAAAGAAACTGATACTGTGACAACGAATGCGGATCCTAAAATTGCAAAATTTTCTGAATAGATTTGATTAACCGAATTTTAGAGAATTTTGACGACTCCACAAATTTTTGGTTTTTTTAATGAAATACAGGTTACGAAGCCGGTAATGTTTCAAAAAAGAGGCTGTAAAAATTTTGAACTCAGTGGAACGTTGATTTTTTGAAAATAAGTTTCCAAAATTGTCTATATTTACTTACGTAATTATTGCATTTCCGATGACAAAAATAACAAATCAAGGCGGAAAAGAAATGCTGAATCTGTTGTCGGTATTTAGTTATTCATCTTTTTCAAGTTTAAATAAACACGGTAGGCCGGCCAGATTTATCAAATATCACGCTAGGAAGAATCAGTTTTAAGGTAAACGAGCAAACTCGCTTTCCAACTCTATATAAATACATAACTTTTCAATAACAAAGGACCTTACGCTCTTGGGGCGCACGCATTTTTTTAATCACCCCGGTTCTGGGCAAGGCGGGACTATAATTAAGCGTTCTAGGATTGAACGAATGTTCTATCTGCCCGCAACACGCTTCAAGTCAAGCATAAAAACGGGCCTGAAACTCTGCGGACGGATCGTAGTCAAATGAAAGGCAGCTCCGCCTCCCTTGGTCTCCACCCGACCATCGAATCGACCAACATCACGTTGAGCTCACGCCTTGAGAAATCGCATTGGGCAATTCTCGGGTGGGGGATGTACCGCGCATTCTGAGCTGTCTCACTCTCAACCATCACTTTCCGTACATGAAAAGTGCGAACCATCATAGCAGGGTCGAGACCGGAGGTGGGGAATTCCCCCGGACTATCGCAGCCCGTGAGAAAATATCGGGTCTGACGTCTGGTCCAAATTTATGGGCGATCGGTGATGGATTATCCTCTTTGTTTTAAGGGGAATGCTATTAAAAACCAGGACGACAAAGCTATAGCAGTAGATTTTAGGGTACTGGACTGTTAGCAGGGGGATTTATAGCTGGGGCAGACTGATTTTTATTTTTCCATCAATACCTAGCTGTTGCTCACCAGTAGGGTATTTGTCTATTCTTTAGTGGCTTTTGACCGACAAAAGTTACTAAAAATTGTTTAAGCAATTTTCAAAGTTCGAACAATTTGACCTTTCTTTGGTCGTTTTCATGCATCTTCCTCGTCTTTTATAGCTTGTTTTCAACCGCCTCGGCGCTGTAAATAACGTAATCGATCAAGCTCAAAATTCAACCTTAAAATGTGAAAACCAAGTTTTTCAAAGATCATAATTCCAGCTAATCGAGAAATTTATACAAAAACCCGTCGTCACACCGAGGAGTCGTGGCCCATTGACGGATATCTGGCTTGTCCTCTGTTTTGGGATACGGTGGACCCTTCTGGAGTTTTTGACATAGAGCGCACCAGCCAGTTTCAGGGTCCGGCTCCAAATGGGTTACCACCCTAAACGTTACATTTTAAAAGCCAACCATTAAATTAAACGAACCTGTATCGATTGCGCCATTCAAAGTATCGATTGTATGCCTGCTCATCAGCGGCTATTCGCTTGACGTAGCGTACCAGCTCTTCCGGGGTCTTGAAGTCATCCACAGCGATAAATATATCGCTTGGTATCTGGCATGAAGAGGTGCATAATCTGATTCAGTTACCTTACCCCGAGGTCTTCATAATACTGCCGTTTTACCACAATCGGAATGAGACCTCGTTGTAGGGTCTCGAAGAATTTTTCTGTTACGTAATCGGGGCAGTTTGAATTTTCGAAGGCTATGTAGAATTTGTAGACACTGAAAGATCTCAGGTTGGAAGTCTTCGAGTTTTGGGCTCTAAACATGTGCTCCTTTCTGGGCATATATGTCATTTTAGCTCTCGGCATGACCGTTCTGCTTGGTGGGTCCCAGACCGCCAAAATCAGGAGGACCGAGACCCAACAACCTTTCACAAAATCACCAAAGTTTTTTGCATCATTGATACCTTTACACCAGTCGTAGCCCTCGAGGAGTAAATATCGATAGATGTTGAGATCATCATCGGACTGGATGGCCGAGATATGGGCCTTTGAAATTTAGTCCATTTCTAGAACCTTTCCCGAATTCCCATAGATTTTGTCAAACTTACCCGGCGGGTCCAAAAATAAAGCGGCAATTTTTGGCCTCTGCCTACGAATGTATGGAATGTATGATTTGGGAAAATTTTGAAATGACTGAATTTGGCTTATATCTCGGCCATCCAGTTCCGATTTTGATGATCAACATTATGATATTTACCTGGAGCTATGACTGTTAAGGTATGCATCATGACTCTATCGATGACTTCAAAACACTTTTGGTATTTTTGAAATTTTGTTTTTATTGTCCTCTTTATTTTCGTCTAGACCCACCACCCACGTTCATCGAGAACTACATGACATATCACATTCGAATGGCTATCTATGATTTTACCAGCCTCCCATCTCCCTTTGATTTCCTCCCTATAATTCAGCCACTGTAGTTTTATTAAATAAGCAAGACCACACCTACCTAGTGACAGTTTTCATACAATCAGAATAGCGATTTTCGAGACCGTCACATTGCTTAGGAACGGACTGCCCACATTTTCCAAAGATGTCAACCTGTAAGTCCAGTGCTTACTTACTAAAATTCTGTCAGATATCTTTAGCCCAAGCTTTTGCAGCAACTGTATGTACTCCAAACGTCGGTTGAGGGTGTCGCAGTTCGAGCCGATCCATACAGCTTCGAGTTTTGGGTCTTTTTCCGCCCAGGGGTTCTTTAATTTATTTTTCTACAAGAATATAACTCAAATTAAGGGTCTTACCACAGAGCGAAGCCTCACAAGGCGCCCATACGGGTTCCAGACGTCGGAATTTCGCTTGTAGTGCATCGTCCAATTCAGGAACGCTAGACGAAAAATTCCTAATCTTAATTTTTGGATGGCTTACCGTATGGCATGCGCATCGCGTCATTTGATGGGCTTTCGAGCGAATAGAAGATGAATGGAATGTTTAGGTTTCGCGGGCCGGGTAGATCGCTCGTCCATTTGAAATCAACACTGTGAAATATTACGGCCGAGACTTTTGAATATTTCTGGGGATTGTCAGTTCTGATGCAGGGGCGCTAAAATAGTATTTTACATACTTTCGATGTGTCATCTGCTAAGGACAATCTTTAAATTAAATTAAATTTTAAATGTATTTTTATTTTTTTAATGTTTTAGCTCAAATTTTATTTACCTTGAGCTCAGGACATCGATCCGGAAAGTCATATTCGCTAAAATTTTGTCCAAAATACGTTGTTGCGGTGTAGATATAGATTGGATCAGTATTTCCAGAGTGATTGACAGTTATGACGAAATAGAAAAGTGTTAGAAACGTCAAAGACAGCAATCCAGCGTACACCACTCTGGCTCTTCTATGGAAGAAGGTGATTCTGAAGCTAATTGTTGCCGTTCGATTGTATTAAAGCACCTCATACCGCATCAGGAAACTCAGACGGGCTGCTGATTTGCACGGGGTCTTATCTTTTCCAGGCCTCATCGATTGCCCCCGGGTTTCGGGCAATTTTGGGTGTTTTGACTTGCCGACCTGGGCTCTATCTGGGTGCGTTGGTCTTTGAATAGCTGACCCTATGCTAAAAGCGCCGATATATGGAATATTAATTGAGGTGTGGGGGCCGCATCCGGCACAGGGCCTCGATAAATAAACAACTAATACTATTCGCATGGTAATGTTCGGGTCGGCCGGGGCTGGCAAAGCTCTTTTATCTCGTGAACATAGCATATTAAAAATTATAAGGAAGCTGGGGATGGGGGACTCCTAGATACGGAATACACCCCATTTGACCTCAGGCGATTCCTGGCTGGTCTTTAATTGAAACTATAGAGAAACGATTAATTATCGAGAAATGATTTACAGAAATTACTCACCCATTAAACCCTTCTTTTGTGAGGTTGAGTGCGCATTGATATCATCGATCAATTACGTAGTTTTCGATTTATTGATGTCAGATACCATTTCCGGAATCAGTACTAAGTGTTTGCTATCTCGGATCAGAATCTCAGGTCATTACCTCGGAAATATTGTTTCTATGCAAAATGATTTTCTGCTTGTTAAAAGTTACTTACAGGAAGGGAGGAGAAGGGACTACACCGCTACCCCGTAGATATGAGTCACGATCCTTTTCGAGCCCTGGAGAGATAGCACGGAAATGAGATTCATGCGAAAAACCGGGACTTAGCTCGCCCATCAGTATGGAATCACCGTGTCGAATGGTCGATTGGTAACCAACTCCCTTGATAGGATTCTGATTATGCTACGAATCCTCTTACTATTATTTTCTTTTTTGCTTTTTGACAGGAACCATGAGGGTTTTGTGAAATCCCTTCGTCCACGTGCCCTTCCCTTTGTTAGGCTTAGGCTCAGCTCTTATTTGACTTGGCCTTGGGCTTATTGTTAGCTTAATTTTAGGTTTAGGCTTAGCTTAGGCTTTTACGCAGGGTTAGGCGTAGGCGAATGCTTGGGTTAGGCTTGGCCCAGGCTTAGGATTTGGCTGAGGCTTCGACTTACGCTTAGGCTTAGCTTAGGTTCAGCAGAGGCGTAGCTTAGGTTGGGCGTAGGCTTAGCTTAGGCCTAGGCTTAGGCTTCAGGCTGACAATCTTTGTGGGGCACAATTTCGAGGTCCGTAGGTGTTTTTTTGTCGTGTTTTTTTATATCCTATATATATATATAAAAAAATATGTTTGTGTGTGTGTGTGTGTATATTTCATCACCTCCGTTATCCCTTACAGCCTCGGGAAGTTTTTGGATAGGGAAGAAACAAATAGTTTGGAATGGTCGGAATCGACTACAACATAAAAATTTTATTCATTTCGCTATTAAAAATAGGTTTTTGTAACACCCTTTTGTTAGGGGAAATTGCTACGCCGGAAGTAGGAAGAGCCTATATAAGGAACAGAGGGGCTTTTCACTTTTTTCTTGCTAGAATTTAGAAGAAACATCAATTAAGACTTTCACAGCTGATTCCGCTCCCCAAGTTGCAAAATATATTTTGCATTTCATAGTGACCATCTCAACTATCTCAACAACGCTTTATTCGATCCAGACCCGCGCTGGCCAGCCCTTGACTACCAGGGCGCCAGTGTTGGGGGGAAGCACAAGGAAGAAGAATAGTGCACACTAGATTGAGGGTAGCCCCCGGTATCTGCCGGGGGCTACAAATTGAATAGGAGTAGTTTGGGCGTAAGCACAGTTTTCGTGTTGTGTGGAATCGACGATCACATGATAGACGGGGAAATTGTTGTGAATAGAATGAATGGAGTGGTGTGGACCATCCTGAGACCAACCTTCCCCTCGAAATGGGGGGAAGGGGAGGAGATGGGGGATCATCTGAGCTTTTGACTGGGTCCAAGGGTTTCATAATTTTCTCAGATGATCCCCCCAGCTGTGGCGCATTTTGTGCGACAACGATGGGAAGGGTCGTTGAAGAACAAAACGAGTTGAGACCGAAATCGGAAAAATTCCGGGGGAAATCGGGTTTCAGGTGGCGGCTAGGAAGGCAATTCTTTATTTCTAGGCATCAGATTTGGCCTGGTTAAGCTTAAGCACAAGCCTAAACCTAAGCCCAAGCGAAGCGTAAGCTTAAGCCAAGCTCATGCCCAAGCTTAAGCCTCACCCTAGGTTTAGACTAAGCCTGAACCTAAGTTTAAGATTTTTCAAGGCAAATCCAACGATCTCCAAGCAAAAATGTCCTCTGACCACCAAATAACCAGATTAAGCCGCCGGATTTTCATATATAAACAACAACGTAAAAATACTTCGCAAAAACGCTAAAAATCGAGGCCTTGTCGAGCCGGGGCAGACAGCACACGGGATGGGTCCCTCCCGACCCCCGGGGGTACAGGGTATTGTTGCGTAGTGGGGGTGCCGGGAGGGTGGGGTGAGCAATGAGTACGTGTACAGTATGCCCGGGGCATGTCGGGACGGGCGCTAGATAAAAAAGAGCCCAGCACTTCATAGGGGAGAATCCATCTCAGCAAACGTAAAGCAGAGGTAGGAGATTGGCGGAAGGCGTTTGCCGGCCCGCGACTTGGGCCAGAAACGCCCCTTGCATTGCATCACAATTTTCGGGGCTAAAAGCTTTGGAATGAGAATCTGGTGTGTGGTGGGAGATGAAAAGTTGCCAGCAACAAAAAGCGCAAGAAAACGTGTAAGTGGAGCTACGTAGCTAATTGGCAAAAATCAAGAAACACGGAGCATTCGGGGGTTTGGGTAGAAGCGCACGTCAAAAGTCACCCATTGAAATAGAGCTGAAATCGTGAGAAACCAAGAGAAAAATTGAGGGAATGAATGATTGGAGGCTACGGACTGATATGAACTGCGAAGAAGAAATATTGCGCTAGGACAATTCTAGAAGGCTACGGTGGCTGTGGGGGACACGATTTAGTGTGATGGGTGGAAGGAGGGGGGCCCGTCTGGCTTCTGGCACCGCGGGTCGACATTCTGATGATGGTTGGAGGTGTCCCGTTGGTTCTAAATTCTTGAGAATATAGATTTTAGAGATGCGTTCGGTCGGGACCGGAGCAAAAAGTAAATAATAAAATTTTTGTCGGAAATGTAATGAAAGGCGAAAAATGTGTGAAAATTCATTGCAAATAGGTGTTTCATTTCCGTCACTTCCGAGCCTCAAGTTAAAAAAATAACATGTTTCCTTACCTGATTACGATACATTCCGAATCTCTGGTTGAATTCGAAAGAGTCATCCCAGCACGGCTGATAGTTTTCCTTGCCAGGAATAGGCACCGGCGGCGACGACTTCGGAGCGGCTCGCATCTGGCCCCAGGCGGTCTTCAGTTCTGAAAAATAAAGGTAAAATGGGTATAATATATTTCATGGCAATCTAAAGTTACAAAATTATTGTGCTACCTCGCGGATGGACTTTTTCATTGCCAGACCGTCGGTGTCGACCCATCGGCACGAGCTCCTCGTAGTTGGAGAAGCGTTCGGAGCGTGTCACTATATTTTAGGCTTATTTTCATATTGTAAACATTTTATAGCGTCGAAATTTAATAATGCCAAAATTAGATAATTTTAATACGCTGGTTTTTACTACCTGGCGCCTCCATTTTGTCGTCCTCAATATCGAAGGATCGCCTCTTAATCTTCTGCCAGTCCACGTCTTCATCAAAGAAAAAGACGCCGTCGGCTAAAAGTGAACTGTTTGGGTAATCGACAAATCGAGAATTTGTCTTCATAGATTTTACCATTAAAAGCAACAAACCTTCCACTTCCTGCCCATTGCCCGTGTTCTCATCACCGCTCCCCGAGAACTTCTCATCAAGGTCAGAGTCGTAGCCTTTGTCGGAGCTGTTGTCCATTCTGAAGAACAACAGATGATAGCTTTTTTCGGGGTCTCCATCCGAGTGGTGGGGGCATTTGAATGGCGCGAGAGAGGAAGCGACACAGAACCCCACCGGGGGAGACCCATTGGCATTCAGCCGGGGGCCCCGCTCGAGCGGATCGAGCTTTTAAAAATATCGACAGCCCCCAGCGGGTTATTGGGGGGACTGGCACGGTTCCGGGATAAAAACCTCCCTCTTCCTATTGTACGACTAGCAATCTCCAAAAAAAACCTTTCAAGGCTGGATGCAAAATAAGACAAATTGAGAGGGGCGGAGGCGCCTGCCGGTCTGTTTCACCACCTTGCCCCAGCCCCCCACTACCAAAAAACGGCTTGCGCAAAGCTTTCGAAATTCTGAATCACGGGGGTAAATTCTTCTCGGTAGTAAACCGTAAAAAGCGATAAGCCCTCCGGCGGAGCAGACAATGCAAATATACGGGTCGGAGGGTGTTCGAAAATTCTGGCAAATTTTTCAGTTTGATTTGGGATGAGTAATGGCAAGTTAGGGGGGGGGGGGGTTGCTAGTCTCGACACGTCGGAACCGGTAATTATCCAATCTTATGCCAGAATAACCAATAGGCGGACCTACACTAAGCCTAATCTGAAACGTCTTTATGCAAATTAGTCATTACCGAGTCATTTTTTCGCGATACCATAAAGCTATGCCGAATAACTACCCTAACCGAACTAATCTTTTTGACGGTGTGCTATATAAAAACGTAATTAAGTAGATTTAGGAAAGGCTAATAGCCGAAAACAGATTTACCCATTAAGCAGGAGCCAACTAACGTATCTTTTGTAGCTCGTTGCTTTTCCTACGCGATGCAGAAGGCAAAGTTCCGCGAGAATCCTAATGACGATGCACATGCCATAATTTGCAATGTATAGTCATTTTGCTAAATTACATAGTTTTGGATTAAAAGGCACGTTTCAGAGATTTGCTACGTTGATAAAAGCAAACTCTCCGATTCAAAACATCAAATTCACACGGAGCAAACATCTCATAGGTCGGACCGGAAGCTACGGCCCTAACCGAACTACCGTATGCCCTGATTTCCGCGACTTTTCCCACTCTCCAATTCCAAACAAGGCATTTCCTGGGGAAATCAGGGCGGCCGTGACTTCGGGTGGGGGACAGCCT